GCAAAGGAGATGTCTTGTGATGCTCCCCCTCCACCTCATCTTCCCTCTCTCCCCTCAGTTTCCACCGCCGATCTACTCAAGTATCAAAGTTGTAACCTCTCCAGTTATCCATGCCGGTAGTTGCTCACCGCTACCATCGACCCTTCAGTGCACCAGGCGGTATCAATATCTGCCCATGCGTCTATCCTCGATGAAGTTCGAGATGCTTGTCTGTTCTTAAAGTGAAAGGCACATGTCTGTGTTTTAGATGGATTAGGGATCAGCTGGTTTCCCCTGTAATAAGCAGTAAGAGCACCTAGAGCTTCGGAGAGCTTCTGCTCAACCACCGCAAAGCTTCCTGCTTCAATGGTAATGGTTTGATCACTGAATGGGATGGCCACTTAAATGAATTAATTTTGAAATAACCTAGTGTGACATACTGAGAAAGAACATATCTAGATGGTAAAATTAACACAGTTTGACACTGACTTGAACTGCCATGGCTCAATGCTGTGACATTCTGGGAATTATAGTTTTACAAGGTGTTTTGCCGTCTTTGCAAAATCCAGGATTTCATAGCATTGAGCTATCTAGTGTTCACTCTTTCACTTGCAAGTTTTGAGAAGACCACTTTTCAACCATTTCCAGTTTCTGATAACTCTTTGGTTCTTAACTTGCCAAATTAGTAGGTTTAGGCCTATATATGGAACTCTTTGAATTCCTTAAAATATTGTCCAAATGAGAAGTATTACTATTTCTTTATCTTCCTTCAGAATTGCCTGTACGGTTTGTGAAACCCCTGCGCGTGAGGATCGCCATTGAGAAGCACCGGGGCTTTCTGGAGTGCCAAGTGTCTCGGGCCAACGCGGAGGTCAAATGGTACAAGGATAACAAGGAGATCCATCCGGGCCAAAGATCTCTACAGGCTCTGTGAATGTGTAAGAAAGAAACAGAACTTCTGTTGAGGGAGGATGGATGTCTCCATTACCAATTAAACCAGTTCTTGAGACCTAGCATGTCACCACACAGCCAGGTTCATGTTTCATGATTACAAGCTATGTAGCCCCAAGGCAAAAATTGATAAACATCTGGCAAACGTCTTATTTATTTATTTACTGCACTTACATCCTGCCCTTCTCACCCTGAAGGGGCTCAGGGCAGCTCACAACAAAGGCACAATTTGATGCCTAAGGTCACGCAGTATAAACAAAAGGCACATTTGATGCCCGCCCAGGCCGGGGCCGGGGCCATGTAGTACACAAAAAAACATGAAAACACATATAAGTATAAAAATCACATCAATTTAAAAACAACATTCCTGACATTAAATTAACCGAGTGAACGAAAATCACTCGCAATGGAAATTTTAACTCAAATCGAAAATTCAAAACAATTATGTTCCATTAAATGAGAAATAGCTCCAAGCGTGTGCGCTAGATACTGAAAACAATAAGCTAGCCCAAGCTCTTGTCCAAATATTCTGGGGACCAATAATCTCCCATGGGAGTTACAGTTAACTTCGACTATCTCTGTACCAGACGGACTTCACACCAACCCTTTTTAGTTCTAATAGCCACACAGATTCTTGCCATATTTTTGTTTAAAGACTAGAGCAAATATAAATCAGTCTAAACGCGCACATACTAAGCTGGTGTACCCATGAGGCCAAATTTCCTAGATCTAGTGGATCACTCATCATCACATGAGCCATAGAACTAGTCGCATGTCTATGGCCATTGAAGTTAGGGAGTCAGCCAAGACAGGGGGTGGTTTAGCGTGCCGTTTATCACACAGTCCAAAAGCATATTCCAGAAGCCATTCCGATTGTCACCTGCATTATTCATTATTGCACTGAGAGATCATTGTTGTGTAATAAGAAATTCAATGTGTAGACTTGAGAAATGTAAAATTAATATGATATGTGGGAATGACTGGAAGAATGGAAAGATGTATGGATGGAGTTAATAATTTTGGAGACACCAGTATAATATTAAGGCCTGTAATAACTAACTACCTGCTTGCTGGACTGTGATTGAAACCTGCTTATAAAAATTGAAAAGTAAACTCTGATAAGAACTCTGACAATTATTCATTCAAGTTAAGGAAATGTTTGCAATATTCCTTATGTTAAGAAGGAAGTCAACACAAGCCTTGTGTTTGTCAACACCAATCAAGAAGATCAACATCTGGCCAGGAAACTGAGATGGATCCAGGATGGAAGACGTCTATCATTCATTTACAACTTTGGGACGACATCAGCAGAATATTCCTATAAAAGACTCAGTCTAATAATGCTCAAAGTGTGGCAGACCTGAGGAGTCTGTTCCACCCGCTATGCTCTGCTCCATAGGAAGGAGAGAGATAGTGCCAGATTTGCAAGGGAGCAGTCTGGTCACTTTGGGGCTTCTTTCTCAAAGGAAGAGGAAGAAATGCTTCTGGAGTCTTAGATTTTGAACTCTGTGAATTATAGTTTTCAAAAGTGCTAGAAATATGAATATTATTACCTGCTCGGTACGTCGATTACAACATTTTATGTAAAAGGGCAGGGTATAAAAAGTATTTTGAAAAGCTTCTCTATTAGATAAGCTCTTCTTTGAATATGCTTATAGTTAATATTATTTATCATAATTTATTTTGAGTTCTGTGTGTGCCTGAAACTTTTTGAAATTGATAGCGGTTGTTGTGAACATTGACTAGGATTTGACAAGAATAATAAAATATCATCTGCAAATAAATTTATTTGCAGTTACCGCTCCACATTTGTAAGCTTCACTTTGGCAATTTTGATTATTCCTGCATTTTTTTAATATGTTCCCTCAGTATTTGTATTTCCTCCAGCATGATTCAGTTGTCAATTTTGGACCATTCCCGGAGAGGTGTCCTCTCAGGTTGGTGTCTTTGATTCTTACCTGTGACATTAAGTTTGAAAGTCACTTTCTGGTTGCCGGCTTCGCAGGTGTACTCGCCCACATCCTTCTTCTCTGTTGCTTGTACAGTCAGCCTCCGGGATTTGCCTTCAGCTTCTACTTTGTGTTTCTTGCTAGAAGTGATGAGCTTCCCATCTTTGAACCACTTGACTTCAGTCTTGGCCAGAGCCACTTCGCAGCTGAGTGTAGCCTCCTTTGAAAAGACAGCCTGGACCTCTTTTTGGACCATCTCTTTGTGGGCAAACACCTCCTCAGCTTCTGAACAATTCCACCAACAGAAATTTTAATATCAATATTTCAGTTACGGACAGATATAATATTTGTGACTTAGGATGCATCTACACAGTTGAATTAATACAGTTTGACATCATTTTAACTACTTTGTCTCAGTGCTAGGGAATCCTGGGACTTGTAATTTGGTGATGTACCACCAATCTTGGGCAGATAAGGCTGTAAGATCTGTAAAACTACAGCTCCCAGGCTTCCATAGCATTGAGCCATGCCCAAAATTACTTTAAAATCTATATAAATAAAAATATATAGAGGAAATAAAATAGTATTTGTACCTGTAACGGTGATTTTGAAGGCCAGTTTCTGTCCCGCTGCTTCACAGGTGTATTCCCCAGCATCCTTCTTCTCTACCTGTTGGACAATCAGCTGTCGGGATTTGCCTTCAGACTCTACCTTGAATTTCTTGCTGGCGGTGATGAGTTTCCCATCCTTGAACCACTTCACTTCTGCTTTGGCCTGGGCCACTTCACAGCTGAGAGTAGCGTTTTCCGAAGACATGGCTTTAATCTCTTTCTGTACCTTCTCTTTGTTGGCAAATATTTCCTCAACTTCTGCAACTGGGGAAAGAAGCAGATAGGTTTTCTAGCTTCACCTCCCTCTACCTAAGGCCATTCAAGTTTCCCACTGACCCCCAGTTGACTGAAAAACACATTTAGCAATCCACGTGGTTGGTCTTTTTGATCCACCCACAAAATTCATATCTGAACACATCACAAGCACAGAGCTTTAGAGTGTTGAGCTTTAGAGTGTTCATCAAGCTGAGTTTTGAGAAGACAACCCCATTAATACCAGATGTTCTTGATACTTGGGTTCCTGAAAAAAGTAGATAATGTTAGAAACTCAGCCTGTGATCGTGTTTCAGAATCAGGGTGCTTTGGATGTGGGGAGTGATGTCAATGAGATTCAAGATGAGTTTCAAGATGGCGATGGTTTGGCCAGTGATATTGATGCAGAGAATGACCAGGAGATCCCTATTCAAAATATAGTTTCCCATGAGAATGTCCATGAGGGGTGTGAGGATGATGGTGTGCTTTCTGAATTGTTACCACAGAATTCCCATGATAGGGAACATGAAAAGAGCTTGGCACCTGGCCCAGCTGCAGAAATTAATGAGCAAACAGATAGACGGGAGGAGATCAGTAAAAACAGGAGAGCTGAACAGTGGCTTCGGCGTTCTGCCAGGCTCCATGAGAAAAAGATAAGAAATTCTCAACTAAAGCTAAACCAATTTCTGAGCGCTAGAGACATAGCTAACGAGGAGGTAAAAGTCCCAAGTACAGGATATGTAGTCAGATGAAGCATCGTTTGGAATCAAGTCAAGATCTTGTCCTTGTTCATGGAAGCTTCGTTTGGAAAATTCATGTTTTAAGTGCCTTTGTTTCATGGTTTTGATTCTTGGATTTTATGCTTCTATATTTATGCCTTGGATTCGTGTTTCCTGATTTCTTGCATTTTATTTGGGAAGTTTTGACTTTGTTTTTATGGACTTAGCTGGACTATTACCCAGGACTACTTTGTTCCTGCTTATCTTCCTACCTAATTGGATTTTCCTATTTCTTTAAAGTGCTTTTTTACTTTACTGCTTTTCAATTATCTTCAATCAAAGGACTGTTTTCCATCCAACGGCGTGGTGTTTTAAGTCAGAGGAGTTTTCCTGTCCTGGAGTGCAACAGGTAAGTTTTTGTAAGGGGAACCTATTTTGAATGCTCCATATCAAAGGTGAGCAAACTCCAATAGGCACAATGTACAGTATGCCTCCCCTCCTTCCTTAGCCATAGGGAATACATTCCAGGGCTTCATGTGGATATGTGGGTCTATAGGTTATAGTGGAATCGACTGAACGGATGAATTCTGACAAAGTCTTGATGGAGGACTCAGAAGATACCTACAGAGGACATCTCTCTAGATATTGCTGGATCCTCGAAGACATGCATCCTCAAACTGTGGCCCTCCAGCTATTTGGGTTCCAACTCCCAGAAGCTCTAACCAGCTTGTTCAATGGTCAGGAATTATGGGAGTTGGAGGTCCAGACAGATGGAGGGCCACAGTCAACTTCTGATGGAAAATTCCATAAAGTCTTGCTTAAGATTCTAGAACAGGGATGGGTAAACTTTGTCCTCCAGGTGTTAATGGACTTCAACTACCACCATTCCTAACAGCCTACAAGAATGGTGGGAGCTGGTGGGAGTAGTCCAAAACACCTGGAAGGTTGAAGTTTGTCAATGCCTGTTCTAGAACATGCCAAGTTTAGGTCCTTCAATACAACTTCACGATCTGGTGGAAGCCTACCACAGAATCACCTGGAGACCTAGAAAATATCTGGTCAAATGCAAGTAATGAAATCACAAGTACCAGTTCTGTGGATACTGGGATTATCCTCATCCAAAGTGTAAACAAATTATACAACAACTCTTCAGAAATGGAGGAAACTCTTACAAACTTCGTTTGTACTTCCTTAAGAATGAATCAGATAAAGAATTAAATCCCAAGGAAAGGGAGCGAGGAAAATGGGTGGTGTTTATGATCTTTGGTCAATAGTAGAAGGCAGTCCAAATATATGATTGTGTATTTTGAATATCCACAAACCTTTTTCATCAGCTACAGTGACCTTGAAGGTCAGTTTCTGGTTGCCGGCTTCACAGGTGTATTCTCCCACGTCTTTTTTCTCTGTTGCATGTACAATCAGCTTCCGGGATTTGCCTTCAGCTTCTACCTTGTGTTTCTTGCTAGATGTGATGAGTTTCCCATCCTTGAACCACTTCACTTCTGTCTTAGCTTGGGCCACTTCACAGCTCAGTGTGGCATCCTTTGAGGAGACAACCTTGACCTCTTTCTGGACCTTCTCCTTGTTGACAAACGCATCCTCGGCTTCTGTAATATTGACAATGAACCATATCCCAGCTGAGCAAAAATGTTAGAATACACCAAAACATCAACAATTAAGAGAGATCTGGCTTTTGAGGTCCAATGAGAAATGGACAACTCCGTGGAGACCAGGGGTCAGTTTCTTCCTCCTATAAAGCCATCATCACTTGCAAAAACTCCTCCAATAATCCTGACAAATATTTCTATCTTCCTTATTTATTTATTTGTTTGTTTGTTTATTTATTTATTTATTTCTACCCTGCCACCATCTCCCGAGAGGGACTCAGGGTGGCACACAAAAGCACTCAAGGTGCAAACACATAAAATACAATAAGTGCATGACCAATCTTCCTAAGCAGCTTTCCCAAAATGACACTTCCTATTGCCATTTTGAAAAGCCATCTAATGAAATTTTAGGTATAGATTCCTATATCCACAGGGGATACATTTCCAGCTGAACTATAATTAGGTTCTTGTGAGTTTTTTCGGGCTATAGGGTCACGAAGAGTCGGAGACGACTGAACGAATGAACAACAACAACAGGGCCGTGTTCTAGAGATATTTCTCCTGAC